TATATATATATATATTATTGGACCTTAATTTGCCCTTTGTGAATCATGCCTTAAAAGTTAAAACCGAGTGAAAGGAGAAAAAGAAAAAGAGAGAAGAATTAGTATAGAATTTCTGTAGGGAGAATCAAGAAGAGGTCCTCCTATTCATATTTTTTGTTCTGTACTTATATAAGTATATTTTGTTTATAGAAAGGAGAGAACGGTTATAAAAACCGTTCTTCATGTTATTAATGCTCTAATTTGATTGTATTGGTTTTATATCATATTTGCATTATAATTTAAATTTCAACATTAGCTGTAATTGTTTGGTTGGTTGGATTGAAGTCAGCCGACTGAGGCGATCGACCGAGTGTTATTTGTGCCCTCTGGAGTACGCGTGGGCTAGTCGACGTGTTATGCCGCATAGCAATATTACTCGGTGCCTTTTAGCACGGTCGACTAGATCAGCCAGTTGTGAGGTGGTCGTCCAGTCCGGACACGGCGTGGGTCGGTCAAATGTGATCAGTCATCTTTTTTCATTGAATGAGCCATGACTCATTTTCCATTTGGCTCGAGTCATAAGGCTCATATCTCGCCTCTCAGGTTGGTTTGTCGCCTCGACAACATCTCTCAATCTTGCAAGGTTTTCGACAGATCTTGTCACAGCCTATGCGGGGTATTTGACGAGACTTGCTGTCAGGGTGATTTATATCTCACTTTTGATGGAACTTGTCGTTATCGAGCAAGGAACCGTTTCCGAAGCTTGAACCTATCTCGGGTTTGGAGACCAGGCTTCAAACTCGATCTTGAATCGTCGGTTGATTGCTTACCTTGAGAGGAGACTCTTTTATCATGTCTCTTTTGACGGAAGAATAAAATTTCTTTTTTTCAATTGTTCCGCTCTTTTCTGCCTAGAGTTTGAAAAATTGTCGATCAAAATATTAACCATAAAAGTTATATACGTTCACAAAGAGTGCAAGTCATTTATTTATATGCCAAAAAAATTCTCAGTTAAGGAAATGTTTTATATAAAGCATTGAAAACATTAGAAGAACAAAGTTAGCCTGCAAGTTTTTTTAATAATCCGCAATAAATTAAAAAGGGGTATTCACGTACGTACCACTCAATTATTATGTTTTTACATTTCTAACACCTATTACGTTTATATCATCTTAATCTTTCAAGTCACACCAATAATGTAACTATTTCTAACTTTAAAAAGGTGAAATACAGCTTTTTCATTCATTGGTAAAGTATCATATAAGTAAAAAATTGAAGTTTAAGTGTTAGGTATGTAAATACATACGAAATTGAGTGTTTTGAATGTAAATATTTCGATGGGGCATCTATATAGTTACTACTCAATTTCTATGTATTTACATATCTAACACCTAACTTTATTTTTTACATTTATACTACCTTAATCATTCCTGTCATATAAAAAAGTACAACTATTTTAACTTTTAAAAAGTGAAATTTTCATTCATCGTAAGTTGGTATATGTCGTAAGGTGTCATCGTAAGTTGGTATATGTGTAAAAATTAAAGTTTAGGTGTTAAATACACAAATACATAAGAATTGAGTGTTATGTATGTAAATCATTATATTTAACTATTCTTGTATTTTTTTCGGCAAACAGCTTTATTAAAGCGGAACTTCAAAAACAATATTGAAATATTTAAAAAAGGATTATAATACTAACAAAAATTAAAAAAAAATTAAAGTGGACAGCTGCCCACAAAAAAATTTAATCCTAGTGTAGTATAGTATTATAGCTAATAATAGTGTTAATTTCTAAAATTTTATTTTTATTTCAAATAAAAACTTATTGCATACTCAACACTAAAATACATCTTTAATTTTTATAATATTAATTTTTTTTCAAAAGAAATTGTTTTAATTAAATAATTTAAATTTTGGCTTGGCCATTGCAAACTCTAAATTGAATCAAGCTCCCTGTCTAATAAAAATATAATGTGAGCATCGACATCTAACTTTTTATATTTAGATATTTTATAAATAATTATACAATTTTTAATCTTCAAGCATACCTGAAAATCCCTCAATATCTTAATTTTCTTCCAAATAGTAATACACCGATTGACATACATTAAAACCATAACCAGACGCGGCGCAGTGGAAGCATCACATAAGAGTTCCCATCCGATACGGCATATACTTCATTGTCCACGTGTTTGATTTCTATTATAAATAGGGATCCAAACCTCCACTACCATGCACTCAGCCAAGCAAAGAATTATAACACACACTCCCCCCAAGTCCCAAATAAAACTCTGTTGAGTCTCCAAACCGCTCCTGTCTCTGCAGCCGATCGCCTGAACGCAGGCCAGTCGCTGGGAGGGGGACAGTCACTCGCACAAGGCCCCTACATATTCATCATGCAGAAAGACTGCAACCTCGTCCTCTACGATAACAACAAAGCAGTCTGGGCGACGGGGACCAATGGAAAGGCCTCCGGCTGCTACGTCACGATGCAGCGTGATGGTAATCTCGTGATTTATAGCGGCACCAGGGTTATCTGGGCAAGCAACACCAATCGCCAAAACGGTAACTACTATCTCATCCTCCAGAGAGATCGCAACGTCGTCATCTACGACAACTCCAACAACGCGATTTGGGCAACTGGCACCAACGTTGGCAATGCTGCTATTGTCGTCATCCCGCATAGCAACGGCACGGCGGCTGCATCTGGCGCGGCGCAGAATAAGGTCAAGGAACTGTATCCATGATTACGGTCGGAGAAGCTGGAAGAAGTATTTATAGTTAGTATATTCTGAATAAATTGGTGTTGGAAACCTGGGTGCTCTTGCCGGGATAATTTACTTTTCCAGTTAAGTGTGTCGGTGCTGTATGAATAAGCATTAGATATAGTGTTCATCTAAGTTTCCATATATGACATGAGAATGGCTTTGCATGGTTATATTTCACGAGTTAATTGTTAAATAAAGTGTTGGTTTTAAAAAAAATAAGTTGGGCAACAAGCTTGGATAAAAGAAAGCGGGGGCTAAATATAGTTTGAGCAAAAATAATTTTTGAGGACGTTGCTAGCAACCGTCAGGACCCACGTGAGTGAAGAATTAGAATCTCATCTCGACACCCCAAACATATATTGGTCACAACATATGCCTCCCGAATAAATATAAGCAGTTAGATGTGACACCGTAACTGTTTGGCTAAACCTACAAGTCATTCAACCAAACAGAGGTGATCGTCATGTATAGAGAACTCTTTCACTTTTTCCTCTCTTGTAACTTCTATTTTCTAAAAGATAAAAGGGGTCAAAATTCCCCGGAATACCCATATATGCCTCAATGGAATAGATTTTTCTCTCCCATCTTCTTTTCTCTTTCTCTTATATTCTCTCCCTCGGCTCTATCCCTTGGGAATGATGGAATAGATTTGACTTCAGCAAAAGTCTTTTTTTTTAATTATCTTAGGTTGTTTATAAAAACATTATTGAAGAATGTTTTTCTATATTTTTATATTCTAATGAGTTTAATATTTTTTTCGATATCATTTGGATTTCATAGCATCCAAAATTAGTTTTTATTGAATTTATTTAAAGTAAATTCATTTATTTTAAAGTAATTCGATGTTTTTTTCTCTTATCCTTATAAAAAGCTCTATAGTAATGTTTAAATTTATTTATTTATATATCGGACGAAAAGTGCATGGCGTTAGGCTGTGGCGGCCCGAAACGAGGATTTGATGATCGCCAAGAGGAGATGCTCAACCAATATAGAAAGATGTTAAAGCCAATTATAAATTGACACGTGGCTTCAGCTATCTGAAAAGAAGCAGCTATCATTGACTATTGCTTTACGTGTACATCATTTCATTTTCTTTAGAACTGAGGCTTAACTCATTGCACCGGCCGCCAGTGTGCGGGGCTATAAATGAAACAATGCATGCACTCAAGAATAATTCGAATTAAAACTCGAATATGCTCATTCAAATTAATAAATAAATAAGTTAAATAACTCTTAAACTCTCCAAATTTAAATGAACTAAATATATACATACGCGAACTTATTTATTTATATTTACGAAAAATTTCGTTTGTTGTTCAAAATTTATTAAATATTTGATAATAAGTACAATATTAACTCATACCATATATGATATATTATTTTAAATAAAATTTAATTAATTAAAATATATTTAATTATAAATTTAATAGTAATATATTATTATATCAATAATATTTTTTGATTAATTATTTTATTTTATTAATGTATAATTATTAATTATATATTTCGTTTATTAAAATTTAGGTATTAGATGTGAAAATACCTAAGATTTATGTGGTATATATATGAAATACCCCTTAAAATTAACTTTAAATCAGACTCACGATTTCACGTTTCTAGGTTTCGCAAGAAACATGCAAAACATTGAGTTGTTGGGGCATGCAAGCTTCGAAGGCAACAAAGAGATTGTGGAGTGCAAGGATCTCTAAAACTCTAGTGTTTGTATATCTTCTTTTTCCAACATTCTCATAAAGTCGACCCAATTAGAAAGTGGTGCTAAGAAAATATACTTCAATCATTGTAAGTTACTTACGATTAAAAATAAGAGTGGTGCAACAACTAAATATAAAAGGCATCCACAAATATCTCCAAAAAAAAAAAAGGAAAATAACAAGTGCATATCACCATAAGAAAACCAACATCTACATTTGAATGTGAGAGTCGGGTATAAACTTGGAAGTATGATCATGCTAAAATATGAGAAATTTCTCCCCATATGATTATGATTCATGAGTTAACTTTCATTTTTACAGAGTTTATATTTAATAAATTAGTAGGTGCGATAAGATTTGTACAATTAATTATTGAATTTTGTATATGAAAATTTAGATATTTCTTTGAATTTTATGCATTTATTTGGTTGTTTAAATGCATATTCATCTGTCATAGATATATCAAATACAAATCAAATTTAAACATTGAAAAATTTAAATATATGAAAACTCAACACAAGCTCAAAACAAACATAAATAACTTATAATCATACCAAGGCAAGTCCGAACCATGATATGCTCAGCTTGACTTGACTTGATTACAGCCGTAGCCGCCACCGTCTTTAAGAGTTCATGTTAGAGAATATAAAATATGATTTAATGGTTTATATATTAAGTTTACTCTTTAATCTTTTATTTATGAGCTAAGAAAAAACTTAATTTACGAGAAAAGTTATATCACAAGAAAAATATATTAATAAAGGAGAAAAAATATATGAAAAGATGTACATAACAAAAATGCCTCATTTTTTTGCTTTTAAAGATCTCAAGTATGCATTCATGAGTCCTAAACAATAAACTCTAGTTAATGGCATATCTAGAAGGAGCATCAATTTTCAATTATTTAAAATAGTGCCAATATTTTTCATAGATATTTAAAACATAAGATTTAAAGTTTTCCAGGCTGCATAAATCGAATAATATTTTAAGAAATTAAATTTCTACGAGTATAAATATGACATATAATGATACCTTAAAATTTTGGAGGGAGATTTACACCCTCATATTTTCTATTTAATTCATTTTTATTCTAAATTATAAATGTGGCTAATTATCCTTTGGGTGATAGAGCCTGATGATGAGTTGTTATGTTGGAAGCTCTAAATGAAAATGTTTATAGTCAGCTTTGGTGGCTGAGTATGTGGAATGCATTGCTTTAATATATAATACAGCAACTAACTCTCGTGGTCTCATTGGCAACTTCGCTGAAGTGCTGACTAATTAGCTTTAATTTTGAAATTAATTAAGTTTTTTAATAGGTTCATTTCTTATTTTAATACATGCAATAAAAGAACAGAGTCGCGGAAAGCAAGAAATAGATTTTGGTGTTAGGCTAATGATGTTTGCAAAGTAGCATCCAATTCATATGTATTTATCTATCTAACACGAAAACTTTTATTTTTGCAATTAAAACATCCAATTCTTTTATATCACATCAAAAGCAGCACAAATATATTATTTATGGTTGAAATCAACTTTTTGATGCATACGTAAGGCTATTTTGCCTTTAAAAATTAAGTTAGGTGTGAGATGCGTAAATACATATGAATTGAGTGCTATGTATGAAAATTTCCACCTTTTTTCTTATTTTTATTTTTTCGGCACGAAGCCGCCTTTCCCGAAAAATAACTTTATAATATGCATTTTATAATCTATATTGTGTCATAATTTTGAACTTAGCAATTGTACAATGACAGAATCTGCTCTGAGGACTCTCCTATAGAGTAAGTAAATGTTCTCTTGTGAAAAACATTTTTCAATGGTTATTAAGGCTAAACTGACGGTCTAACTCGTAAGTTTATATTGAATAATAAATCAACAGGCTAAATTTGTCGGAAATATAACACGTTTGTTTTTCTAAATTACAAACCGACGGCTATTTGATGTTAACCAACGGTTGCACTGATGTGCTTAATAACATTAGAATGCCATCGGAATACCATCGGAATCGTCACCAAAATTTCTAATTTCTATCTCCCATGTGTGCTTGAGCTCTAGAACTTGCGTTCTCCTACTGTGATCCCATTTCAATTTGCTACTGTGCAAGTGCATTGTTTCTCTATTTCTTAAAGTCAAATCGATTGTAATCTTGATTCAATCATTCCTCCAAGTTCTTACCTAATTTGAGCCATTAGTTTTTTTGTATTTTATGATTATGTGCTTTTGAGAAATTCAAATTTTTTATTAGGTTTTGTATGTTTTTCATTATTTCTATGATTGCTACATGCTTAGAGCTTCAATCTTATGTATTTCCTATTTAACAACTTAATGTTAAGGAAAATTTACATATATTTAGCGCACAATTTTTGTGTATTTGCATATCTCACTTCAAAACTTTCATGACTACATACATAGCACCTTTGTTTTAAATCTATGTATGGCAAGGTATATTTTACTTTTAAAAAGTAATAATAGTCTTATTCTTGTTATGATATTAAAGATTGGAATATGATGCAGGTAAATATGAAAGTTTAGGTATCAGATATGTAAATAGCTAAGAATTGTGTGTTATGCATGTAAACACGCCAAAAAGAATATTTATATATGATCGCCAATTTTTAGGTGGCTTTATTGAGGATTTTGAAGAACACGGTGAAATGAGAGGATATTGATATTTAGTATTAGAGTTTCCGTGATATTTATTTTTCGATAAGTGCAATGACGTATGTTTAGAGCTCAACATTTTCTGAGGAGTGTCACCACAGTTTGACCGTTTTGCCAATTTGTTAATCGACATTTGAAAAGCTTAGTTATATCACAAAATTTTAAAGTTGCACTTATGAAAAAGAGAAGTAAAGTGTCATCTCTTCCTACCATACTAGCAGCATCACTAACTAAAACTACAAATCTATCTATTTCGACGCAGGGTCATGCTACTACTGTCGATCGAGAAGCGTCGGGCAGCAGTAGAAGTACTTATCAACTCGAGCCTATGCGACCGGCCTAAATTTCACCCTCTTTTCATGGCCAGCTCCCACAGTGTGACAGACAGAGTGTACAAGGCCTGGGAACGAATTCACCGCCGTATGGCTGATCAACGATTGCTAGCGATTTCGGCTTCATGCAGGAGAGTTGCAGCCTGAAATCCGGACCCTCGCAGGATCGCAACCTTTTATCCCATTCATTGTAGCACATGCGTCGCCTAGGGCATAAGGGGCATGATGGCTTAATGTCATCCTCATCTTCCTTCAGTTTATCACTGACAGTCTGCTCAGGGTTCCAATCTCAATGGTGGCAACTAAACACGAGAATTGCGCTCGTTGTAGTTTTATATTTTCAATTTTAGTAGTTTATATATTGCACTTAATAGTACGATTGTATTTTGGATTAAAGTTATGTGCAATAATTATTTTTTCTTTTTTTTTATTGTCGATTTTGTTGCTCGGATAGGATG